ATTCTTACTTTACAGCATTTTTTCACACCTGCCTAAAACTTTTGCACAGTACTGTAGTTCTTGCTTAGTGACCATAACTGGGACTGGCAACTGTTGCTAAGCGCCATGGTCGTTAAGTGAAACATCACATGACCACGACAGGCTTATGACCTCACTTCCCCTTTGGTCATTAAGCAAAGCACCATGGTTGTTAAGTGAAACTTCATGTGACTGTGACTTAAAATTTTACTTCCACCTTCTCTATTAACTCTGCCTTTCTCAAGCCAGTTGCGAAACGACCAAATGCTGATCATGTGACCATGGGATGCTGCGATGGTTGTAAATGTGAGGAATGGTTACAAAGCTTTTTTTTTTTACAGCATTGTAACTCTGAATGGTCACTAAACGAGGCAGTTGGTGAGGACTACCTATATAGCACTAATCTTATTGTTTGAAATACCTATTTCAGTGCAGACAACTGTATTTTGCATTTTTAAAAGAAAAATCATTAGACAATGCTGAAAAACGTGGAAAGCCCTGTGATGTTATGCAGTAATTTTACTAATTGTGAATATGCTTTTCTGAGTAATGCTCATTAGTAAAATAAAGAAAACAACTTTAACATAAAGGAGAATTATTTGCATTTCAGATACTGAAAATATATAAGGAGAATTCACAAATTTAATGAGAAAAATGAGTCATTATTACACTCTTGCCTTTTAATTCCTTGAAAAGTGCTGCTAGCCATATCTATTATTCCTCCAGTGGGTCTTGCTACTGCTCCCACTAATCCTTTTCCAACTCCTTTGAAGAAACCTGCTGCTCCTTCTTTTTGGGCTCCTAGAGGAAAAAACAACATTTAAAGGAAGCATTAAATAAAAATCTATATTAAACTTATTTAAAAGCACCACTGAAAGTTATTTTACCATTTTTTTCAACTGGAAAAAACTGGGGAATTGTAATAAAATGCCCTTCCCTCATGGCTTTCTAAAGCCAAATCAGACTGAGAGCAAAACATCTGGCTCTCTGACTGCAGCCTTGTAAAAGAAGAAATGGAAGAAACAGCTTTACAGCAGCAGCAGAGAACACAGTAACCATGATAAAAGGTGAATTACTATATTCTTCCTATTTGTGAGGACATCCATAACATGACCCCCCCAACCCCAAAAAATGCCCTTGCAGCCTGCCCTTATCCAGTCAAGTAGTGAAGCTGTTACAAATGAGTTCCAATTAAGAAAAAAGTGTTAATTTACAATACTTTCTTTCATATTGTGACATAAAGTTCATATATCCTTAAATGCTATAATATACAAAAATGATTTTAAAAAAAATCAAAGCATCATTTTATGAACAGTAACTTACCTCTTATTGGCTTGGTTACTATTCCTGTTATTCCACTGACAAAACCCTGTGAATAGACAGAAATATTCCAATTTTTTTCCTGAAATGGAGTATATATTTTAGGTATACTCTGTGTTAAGAATTATAAATAATTTGTATTTGCCAAAGTACTGAATCATAAAATAATTTTATTTATATTTCCTATATCTATATCAAGGGTCAACCTAAATCCTAATCAACTTTACCATAAATAAAATTTTAAAATTTAAATAAAGGAAACAGTAATTTATGAATGAACTTTCCCACCTCTTGAGATCTACTACTGAGGCTATGCTAAACATTCAAATACATGATATTTCTTACAGATACTAAGCCTTTTCCTCCACGAGTAAAGCCCTCCTTCAGGCCAGCAGGCTGCTTATTCATAGCTTCCCGTCGTTTCTGCTGATAATCTTCATCCATAGTTATAGCTGCTACTCCTTTAGCCATAGCACCAGTTATTCTTGAAGCAGCACCAGCTAATCCACCTATTTCCACAAAGGTGTTTTTATTAAAAATAGTAAAACCACAATATATATAGAGAATATGTGGTATTTTTGAATCCACATTAAAAATAATACTTACCAACAGCACCACCAACTAAGGCTTTCAATCCTAGTGCCATTCCCTCTATAAACTCTTCTGGACCCTGGATAGCCCCCTGAGTCAAGAGAACAGAACAAAAATATGAAAAAAAAAATCTGGTTTGACTACCAATGATAAATTCTTCCAATGAAAAAAAATGAAGCAAAAACAAGCAAGCAAGCCTTCTAGTGGATAAACAGTATATGATAGTCATAGGTAGGAAAAGCAAAGTCTTGGACAATGAGGTCCAAAGCAGTTTATGGCTAAACTAAGCAGCTGATTCTTATTAAACCGAAAAGCAAAAGTTATTACCCTTGTACCTCTTCTACTATGAGTGAAGAATTTCAAAATTTGCTATCATTCCACATTTCTATAGAATTTCATGTAAAGTGGATGTGTAAAATTCAAGCAAGCATTTACAGGCAAATACAGCAAGTCCTTGTATAGATAATAAACATACCTGATAAGGCTCATAAAATAATGCTTCAACTCCTTCAGATAAATCTCTTATGAATCCAAACGGATTGCCCAAAACATCCAGACCAAGAACAAGAACGTACATTTGTTTAATAGCCTGAAATAAAAATAAGTTTTTATGAAAAATAGTTCTTAATAGTAGCTAATTCGGAACAATCAGCATTTACTCTTTTCTGTAAATGTACTGATATGATGAATGTTTTAAATGCATGAAATTTAAACTAAACATGCCCCTCTGGATTTCCATTAGTAAAAAGGATTCCAATACTGTGGACAAACAGAAATGGCTAATTTCCGGCCCTTACAGAAGACAAATACTCTTCTGTAAGAAAAGCAATTTCTTGCTTTTCAGTAATTTTAGCCAATGAATGAACAATGATTAACACACATATTAGCTAGAGAGCTAAATTCCTGAAAGAGCATTTTTCTTTAAAAAAATATTTTTAGATAATATTTTTGTTGTAAGTTTTCTATGTTTCTGAACATTTAAAAACAATATTCTGTCATTGTGTACAGATAAAGTCCATCACTATTATATGCATACTTGAAAAGGCAGAACAGAGGCAAGAAAACTATGGGGAGGTTCTGTACAGTTTCGGTATAACTTTGGCAAGTTCTTCATTTTCCAGAGAGATGCCATGGTTTAAGTAGGATGGATGGGCAGGCAGATAGGCAGAAAAGATTGTGGAATCCTTGACTGCCAGGGCTGAAATTTCATGGCTTTTATGTAAGGTAGTGTCTGACACTCTAGGTCAAGGAAAGAAGGCAACCTAGGTTTTCAAAGGGGCCACCTACCAAGTGCTGCTTCTGAAAGATTGTAATTATTTCCTATTTCTCTTTGGGATTGTGTCACTCTGGAAAAAGTGACATATCCTTTCCTGACAATAAACCAAGATTCTGGTTATAGAGCTAATATGGAAAGAATCTGGATAGAAATCCATTCTGGAAAAGTTCGGAAGCTTAGGATTCCTCTCTGAAAGGAACTGTTCTTCACTGAAGCAACAAAGAAGCCCTAGTAAATGAATAGATGATTCTAAATCTATTTCTGTATGATTTATATTCCTATGACAAGACACATTGGAAGACAGTTATATCTAATGACGCAGGTGGCAAAGTTACTTCTTATGGGAATTTTATCTGATTACAAAGAATTCTACACAAGGTCATAGTATCTGGCAGTCAGATTTTCCATAGACTTCAATAATATATATGCAAATTTAGCATACATTAAAACTCAAAGATCTTAGACTATAACAGTATCTAGACTTTCATTTTCTTCTTCTCTCAATATAAACAGAAACTGAGAATTAAAAAGATATAGCACAAATGAGATATAATTTATAGTGGTCCCTATGTTAAAAATATTTAGTATTCAAGCTAGCTTGAAACTAGGCTGGGAATTGCATGAATTGGCAGATAAATTCCAGTTGCAGATCTTACAAGAAGAAAAACCTTGTGCTGTTTACTGCCACATAGTGAATTTTGAGAGAGTATGTTGTCTTCTATTACCACCTAGTGGTCTGTTGAGAACATGTCTTCATTTGTATAATAATCTGCTATCCAGTTAGCAGAACACAGTATCTGGAGCTTGCAAAATCCTGAATATGGGAAGCAGAGGCATCCAGAGTGTGAGAGTGCATGTGAGAGAGAAATTATGAAATAAGCTTTGCACTGTTGTGATGTAGGCGTTAATTATTTTGTACATGCTTCATGACCTCGCATATGGTGTATGAAAGAGGTGGAGCTTGTAACACAATGCTTGTTTTGTCATTGTGATCCTGTAGATGCTTTTGCCTGGCTCTGCCAAAGACAGAAGAAGGCTGAAGATGCTGCTGTGAGGCTGACTGGTGCCTGCCATTTTGGTAAAACCTTGTGCTTCCATCTATATTCTGACTCTGGGCAGATTTCTTAACTCCTAAAACTTCTTCTTTAGTTTTGAGGGACTGCTGTTTGAGATGCAAAGCAAAGGTGGATTTCAAAATAAAGATATCTGTTTTCAAAGAATCAGTTGAAGCTTATGGACACAACCAAAGAAAAAGATAAATGAAGATGTTTGAAAAAGAATAAGAAAATACCTGTTTAAAGAGTCTCTCTGGTAAAATAATGTGTTTGATTCCTGAACCACAGGAATGGAAGGTACTGAGGGAGCAACCTTTTTTAAAAAATGAAAATCTCCAGGGCCAAATGAACTGCTCCCTAGAATTTTGAAGGAACTTGCTGATGGTCTGACCAAACTTATGTGTTATCTGATAAACTGTAAAGAATGGGTAAGGGTAAATGCTGTTCCCATCTTTAGAAAGGAAAAAAGTTCCTTCACTACCTAGGATGAAATACTTCGGGCCCTTGAATTTCAAATTGATTTCAGATAAACAAGTATTTAATGACTGTGTTTCTATCAACCTTAAGGTATAATCCTCCCCTTCAGTTGGGTCTTCAGAATGGCCTACTGGAACATATTCCTTCATATTACGAGTTGAACCGTTTTGTCTTTCATTTTTTATCTGTTAGTGAATATTTTTTCTTTCATTTATCTGAATACATTTGAAAAACTCCTTGCTATTACCATTTTCCATTCTCAACTCATACTGAGCTTTAACCTTTCCAGCAACATTTCTAGCTTAGATTATTCCAAAATCTAATTAACCTCTAGTTAAGAAGACTGGAGTGATGGTTGTGTAAACTTCTCTCTCGCTCTCTCTCTCTCACACACACACACACACACAAGCCCACACGTATCTGAGAAGCTCTTAAATATTTTTTCTTATTGTTGTATTACTTTTATTTTTGTTACTTTTTTCCTTCTATTCTATTAAAATATTTTATTAAAAAAGAAAGTAAAGAAAAAAAAGACAACTGGATCATTGTTTTATAGATTTTTTGCTTCTGCCTAGCTAATCAGTGTAGCATTTCAGCAACATGGAAAAATGCTCATATGGTTAATTCATATTGGCTTATACTAACCTGCTTTGAATAATGCATGATAACTGCCCACTGCAGTTGTTGGGTAGTACAGAAGTGATAGTTCAGTTCAAAGAAGGCCAACCTAAAACAGGCAAATTACATATATAAATGAAAAATAAAATAAAGTGTAAGCACTATTCTAATTAAAATCCATTGTATTAATATAATCCACATACTTAAGAACAACATCCTGCACATCTGTGAGTGTGGCCCCAATGCTCTTTAACAAGAGGTTTAAGGACTGGACTGGAATCAGTTCCTTGTGTTTCTCATCCCTATTGCTCTCTTCTCCACCAGTACTGAGTGAAAAGCTTAAATGCAACTGAAAGGAAAAACAATAAAAGGAGTTGGAAGACTCTTAAACCCTTAAATAATTTCCTAATTCTTAAAGATGTTTTTGTTGCTGTGAGAATTACTGATAATCTGTCAATAGCTATAACTATATTGCACCTGCACAATCCATGCCAGTGTTACAGATAACCATCTATTTTGTCAACTGATAACTGCTTTTGCAGTATTTTTTTAAAAATTGGAAAATCAACCTCTGTTATCATTTGCATTGTTCTGCAATACAGGTAGCTCTTGTTTAACTACTGCCTTTTTTAGAGACCATTTGCAGTTATGAAAGTGATGAAAAAGTAACTTTGCAACCAGTCCTAGCATTTACAACCTTTCCAGGTCTGTAAAGCAAAGGAAAGCTGAAGTAAGATCGTAAGCACAGTTACAGTTTCACTTAGCAACTGCTTTGCTTAATGACCAATTTGCTGGTCCCAATTGTGGTAGCTAAAACAGGGACCACCTGTATAAACAGTTGTGGGCGCAGCAATCCCTTAAAGAATGCAACTAAACTTATACTTCTTTTGTACATAATTTTCAAAAAAACAACAAAAACCCTTAATTGTTGGATGTATCTTTCCCCCCAATTTTTTTGTAATTTTTTAATGCGGAAAATGATTGATGCTACTCAATTTTGTCGGCTATTATCTGACGGCTATTATTTGTTGAATTAAGTATTCATTGTGGTAGGCTGCATCATTCTGCTCCTGCTGAAATCTATGTTCTTGTTTTTACATTCATAACCTGTAGATCTTAGTAAAACTGGTCCTGCCACTTTTTTCCCTAAGAGTATCAGAGCTTACTAAAATGGCAGAATTTTACAGAAATCTCCTCTTTGGATTAGATACACTGATAGGGTTTCGTTTCACTCATAATACCCATTGCTAGCTGTGTCTATTTAAACAAGCAAATGTTACAATGATGGCTACCTTGATTGGAGAGATATGAAAATATTCATATAAACTGATTTGTGATGTATCAGTTGACACTGCATTCTTTAATTCTTCCTGTGCAGATTCTACATCCTTTTTAAAAAGTTCAACCTGTGAAAAAATTGACAACAGATAATCATTCTTAAAGCTTAGTGATTAATTAGTGATATAGTAAATATATCTTAAGGTCTACGTTTGGTTAGATTTAAATAAATTTTCAAACTGATGACATGTTGAACAATAACTCATGTTATACTTGATGATATCAAGGTATTTTCATTCATTAGATTGGGGTGGGCAAGTCCGACATCAAAGGTTGCATGCTACCCATCAACCTCTTTGAAACTGCACACCTCTGAATTTTGGTAAGAACTGCTAAGATTTTCCACCATTTTTCAGAGAAAAGTTAAAATAATGTGGAAACTTTTTAAGAAGTTTAACATCTTCCAATTAGAAAAACGTAACAGAGAGAGAGGAAAAAAAATACAAAAAGATGTGAAATCCTAGCCATGGTTTAAAATATTGGTCCTAGGTACAGAAAGGTAATCAACCGTTTTAGACCAACCTGTCAGGATATATGGATTCAGAAAAAATTATTCCATATTCACTTTTATGTAGCAGTTGATATGCAGTATTCAGGTGATTAAAAAAGAAAGGACTGGGTTATGTTATGGTTTGTTGTTGCATTACTTAAAATATATCCTATCCTATAGGAGTTCATACCTCTTGGCCTTTGGGCAGTTCATCAACAAGTATAAAGAAATCGGACAGCGCATAAAGGAAACCAAGATCTAATCGGAGATCCATCTCTTGAATTAGAACTTTAAAATACCTGCAAAGATGTTTAAACCATTAAACAGTAGAAATACGTAACTATTAGTGTGCAACTGTTTCAACACCAAGACTGGAAGAAAAAGCCTCAGTGGACAGGTAACCAAACAATTCATGTAACAGTACTATATGCATTTATGTTTAGTGTGTATAAAAATAATACTAGAAGCAGCAAATATAACATATTAATTCTAGTACTCTTACTCTAACCATGTTTACTCAAAAGAAAAAAAATCAGTGATTACAATAAGATTTATTTCCAACTAAACAAGTTTCTCATTTCAAAGCTAAAAGACTGCAGTGCAATCCTATGCATGTTCACTCAGGAATAAATTCCAATAATTTCAAATGGAGTAAGTTATAACTGCATCTCCAAGTTAAGACTGGAAAAAGAATATATACTTACTTTATGCGTGATATCTGAGAATGTCCTGCAGTTCTCATCACAATACTGACATCAGTAAACGGCTTGGGTTCTATGAAAATTTCAAACAAACATAGATGAAAATATACACTCATGGAGGAATATAATTTATTTTAATATGCAAAGGGTAATGCATATAATTGATATCATTTGCAAAGAATGCAATGAAAGAGTTGAACAAATCAAGGAACCAAGTTGTTACGAAACATAAATATAAAGAGATTTGCAATTTGTAATTACATATGTTCCAGGCTCACTGCATATTTGTTGGAAAAGAATTATGGAACTTTGTTGTTATATACGATAACAGCATCAAGGATTTTATATACATAGAGGTGGAAAGATAAGATATTGCCTATAATGGAAGAATGGATGGTGAAGCTGATGGAGTTGGCTGAGATGGCAAAATTGACGGCTTTGATTGGAGATAAGACGTTGTGTAATTTTAATGCTAACTGGAAACCTTTTTTGGACTTGTGGCGGGAAACAGAAAACAATGAAATTATGTTGTATGGATTTGATGATTAGAAATAATATGGGTTAATAGAAATAATGGAAGTTATGTTGTAAATTTAGAGCAAGAGTTTGATGTGTACTGTTACTTATATCTGTTTCAAGAAGAGTCAGAAGTCCAACTTTTTTTCTTTTGTCTTTTTTTTCTTTTTTACCTGCACTTTTGATCCTTAGTATTCTTTTTTCCTAATCTCTTTCTTCTTCTTCTTAATATTAGTTCTTGTTAGTTTTTACTGTTCTTTTATAAAAAATTTAATAAAGTTATTATAAAAAACAAACAAACCTGAATCCAATGAGACGGACTTGGGAGGCTTAATAGGATAGAACACAAAAGGAAATATGGCTCCAGGAATCTGATTTTGTATCTGATAGGGGCAATGACAGGACAATATGTTGCAGGTTAGATGCTATTTGCAAATGCTTTCATATTATATAAATTGCTATGTCCTAGTTTACAATTATGCTACCTTCACAAATTTGAAATTCAGGACTCCCCAAACAAAACACTTAATCTACAGACGTCAGCAGCTAATCATCTCCTATTGGTTTGTCCACTAAATAAAAGTTCATTTTAAAATTTGAATTTCCATACATTATTTAAGTACAGGATAATGCTGATATTATTAAAACAAGTAACAGGAAATGGTGTTTAAAACTGTACATGCTTTAGATGATTTTCCATTATCTAACAGTTCTTGACCATGCATTGTGGGTAATTCAATATACCTGTATCCTATAGATTTGAACTCTGAAAGAAGACTGATGTTCAGAGGTACTATACTGTACTTTTAAAGCTGGCAAAAAGCTTCTTCTCACAGGAACTTCATATGGCTGTAGTATTTTCATGTCATTACCAGTAGGAGTCAAACAGACCTGTCGTTAGAAAAAAAAGTTTCCAAATTTTAATTAATTTTTAAAATTAATCTTTAAAATCAAGGATCACAGCATAACTCAACTAAAATTAAGCACTGTTAAATTCCATATATTTCTAAGTGATGTTTAATATGCTTAGCCTTTCAACTCTATGCAATCGAAAGTGCAATGTTTTAAACTTTATCTGGACTATGCTCATCACTTTTTAAAAAATACTAGCAGCTCAAACTTCTGCAGGTTTACTCAGAAGTAACTCCAATTAAATTCAATGGGATTTCACCTTCACTAGTAATAAAATATATATTAGGCTGAGAGGAAGCAGAGATCCAGAGACTGGGGCATATAAGATCCTGGCTACAATCCTGTCTCATGTTTAAAATTTAGTCACTGAGTTTAGCAGTGCTTCTTCCCACACCATCTTGCAAAACAGTATAGGCGTCAACAAGATAAAAAGTAGAGATATCTACCATATGAATTTAAAGGAAGAAAAAATAGGTTCTTCAGATAGAAGGAACAATACTGAAGAGGTCAGTGCTATTTCTTAGTGACGATGAAAATTTTTGGCAAGTGACTGATGGGTGGAATAAGCATGGACTGTTCAGTGCACAAGCTCTGTTCATGGGAGTCACATATGTAGCGCTTGATATAATCATCAAATTGTTGTCACTGCCAACCAAATGTAGCAAAATAGGAGCAAGGACAGTGGGTATGCATGAGTCACACAATTCAAGTGAGATACTCAGGAGAATATTTAATGATTATTTATGTACTGGCTTGTTTATATGGGGGCTATTTTATTGCTTATCACCTGAACAGTCCCAATCCAAAGAAGATTTTTTTAAAGACCTTTCTGACTGTGAATGTTTGAGAAAATTAATTTATAACTGTGGAGAATCACAGGATAAATGAAGATGCATGAGGAAGTTGCTGTGATAAGATGCTTAGCCTGGGAGTTCATCATTAGCTAGAATGTACCAAGGAAACAGTGTTAGATGATACATATTCTCAGACAGGTAAAGGAACAATGTTAATTGATACCAGAATCTCTGTATATGGAAACCAAAGTGGTATGATTAAAAGGCAATTCCATAAAGGATTTAAGTTTTGCCAAAATGCAGATATTAAGGCACCAAAAAGATGCTAAGAAATTCTTCACTGCATTGTCACAGAATCTTAAGAGTGTCAAGAAAGTGAAATACATGACCCTATGTAATTTATGAAAACAGGAACTGATTTTTTGAAGATTCACAAATAATCAAAAACCTGTTTTCTTTCATATAAGAGTTCCATTGCCATTTCAGAAAAAACATTTTGGTTTCTTCTACAGCAAAGGTCACCTCTGTTTCCATCCCCAAGTATTGCACTGTATGCATAGAAATAAATGCATCGTATCACAGGGATCTGCACCAGGATACTGGAACAGGGAATTATTTCCTCAGTGATTATGCTACAGAGTACTGCTTTCTGCTCTTGAACCATTGGAAAAAGGATGATCTGGTCAAGTTGAAAAGCATAAATCATAAGCAGGATGACTGGGAGAAAGAAAGAAAAAACTTTTTCCCTCCCAGCAACTGATTGTATTAGGAAATAGTGCTCCCAGAAGCCTTCTAAACATGTGTATGACAGGCTGTTGAAAAGTGCTATTCTAGACAGTGTTCAGATTCTTAGGCAGCTCAATCTGACCAAAGCGTTTTGCTCAGGAGAATCAGAGTGATTCTGCAAATTACCCTAACAACTTAACTGGAGGAGAGGAAATGAGGATCCAGGATTCCCCTGAGAGTCGTGGCCACTGGGAAGGGAATTTCCCACCATAAAGCTTAAAAATTACAAGAGCTCAGTATTTTCAATTACACTTTCAATTACATGTGTTAAACTGGGAGAGGACTGTTAATTTTACAGCTTCACTAACTCTAGGCTGCAGGTCAACCACCCATTTAAAAAAAAGTGGTTACGCAAGCCAGGCACTGCAGAACTGGCACCAAGCCCAGGGATAAGATGGAAAAGGGTGGTGCCACAGCAGACCTGCTAGAATAATTAGAGCCAAGCAGATCACCACTCCCAACTGTGTTACCTCAAACCACCTCCTGCATACACCATTAACAACATGTCCAGTACAGAGCACCTAAAGTGACTTCAAGTTGCCAGATGACAATGAAATACAGGGACTGACTGAGAATGTGTTGAGGGAAATGATTAGTGGGACAGCTTTGTGCTGGGGCAAAGAGGCTGTGAGTATATGGCCTAAAATACTCAGGTTTTCTTCCCAGAGTTATTCCAGATTCTTTTCTGGGCCTTCCCTTTAAGACTTGACACTAACAGACTATTTCCAAAAAGTTGCCCAGCGTACCACAGGCACAGGAAGAAGCAAAATTATGTTGCCAAACTACAACATAATTGAATTAAAATAAAACAGTTATTAATTGAAATATTTATAATCCATACTATCTTAGTGGATTTCAAGATAGGATTTGATAATTAAAAACAGCCAAGATACAACATAACACTCTATTCATTCCCGCACTTAGAGGAGAATGATGAAAAACGACGTAAGGAAAACAGAGGGTTAACTCATGCTCTTCAGGAAAAACAAAAATATTTTCCCAGAGGATACTGAGCAGAAAAATGGAATTTATGCCCCTTTCAGTTTTCATAAAGTTACAGAGACATTTCCCTCCATAAACTTTTGTCTACTTCCAGAAATTTTGAATGTTGTTCTGAGACCACAAAGGAAAACTACAACAGATGAGGATAAGGGACTGGGATCACAGTAATACATTTTCATTTTCTCTCCCAGGCAGCAAGAAACAGTTATAAGCCATCATTTTATCAAATGAAACTTACCAAGCCTCTGCTATGGAACAAATGACATGCATGACATAATACTAGCATGAGAAAAGGAAAAATGTGTGCAAATGCTTGAAGGAACCTAGTATAAGCATAAGCAAAAGTATAATTACATTACATTTTATACTGGAACTGAATTTTAAACAGATTAAAAAAAAAAAAAGCCTTCAGTGTTACCGGAACATTATCATCAAGTTCCACTACTTTATTTTCTGTAGGTGAGTTACCACAGTATTCAATAAATTCTTTCTCCAGCTTGTCAGTTTGCTTCACACTCAGTGGCCTCCATCTTGACTTTTTCTTGGGTTTTGTCTCCCAAATTACATCAGAACTTGCAAGTAAATTTTAAAAAAAATTAAAAATATTATTTATCAAATTGTAAAAGTGTGACAAGCAATAACACTTCATTAAATCGTTAGATTTACTAACTCCTGGAAAATAAAAACATCTTCAATTCCAAAAGCACAGCATTTTTTTTAAAATTTTTCATTAAAGCTTTCTGGAAACATAACAAATTATTCTATAACCAAGGCTTGAACGTACTTATTAAAAGGATACTGTAGTAGAGAGATACAACCATCATAATCCTCAATTACTTATGGCTTATAAATGACATACTCTGTGAAGTATTAACTTTAAACTTAGCATAGCTGATGTCTATAACCGTGCCAATAAATTATCATTATCTGCCCCTAACAAAATAAAAGTAGCATCTGATGGCAAAGTTAAATTGTTTGTCCATAGTTTTATTCAGAGGATAGAATCCTGCCATCATTTCAACATTTGAAAAGGGATTCCAGGTTACAGAAGGAGTTAAATGGTTTCTACACACTATGCTCACTTCTAGAGTTGAATGTAACTTACAACATCAAACTATAATTTACTATACAGTATACATTACTAATATTAAGAAAGAGTCCCTTTTAATTATTTCAAATGCAAATGGGTAAATGGAATATATTAGATATTGTTACCTTGTGATTCCAATGTAAACTATTTCCTGCTTTAAATAGTTATTTACTAAAGAAATTCCAACATCTTGTAAAGATACAATGATTTCTTGTTCTGCTAATTCCACTTTTTCACTTTCATATGTCATTTTGAAAACCTTTTCATCTTCAGTGAATAGGATTATACGCTGCAAACCTTCAAAAAATGAAACTATATAAATGTGCTTGGTTCCCACTTGAATTGGTTTCATCAAGTCCTAAAATGAAAGATAAATATTCATTATCAGTCTTTCTTCAAAACAGCATTGCTCAGAAAGTTCTTACTTTCAATTTTGCTAACATACAAAACTCCAACTGGACCATGGTTAAAAGTGTGCATGGGGTATTCCTGCAGCAGGCTCTCCAACCTCGGGAGTGATTATAAAGAAGCTATTTAGCTGTTCAGAGATTTAAAATGCTGTTTTAAGATTGTTTAAATATTTTAAATATCAATTCTTTTCTACATTGTTTGTCATATACTACTTTCATGAGTTTTCTGGAAACTTGGTGTGTGTATGTATGTATATCCATATGTATATGTGTGCTTATGTGTGCATACATGTATACATGTACATACAGATATATACATAATTAAATCATGGCAGTAAAATAGACCAGTAAAAATATACTGCTTTCTCCATGCTCATATACACAGCGCCCAAACAAACCCAGGATAATCCAAGAAAAGTTTATTCTGGACCTACAGCATTCTGAGAATGCTTGTTTGTTTGCTTATTTATTTATTAAATCAATTGACATAGCCACCCATCTCACCACAGGCAACTCTGGGTGGCATACAACAAAGCTAAAAACAGTCAAATACATTAAAAATATATACAACAAAATAAAACAGAGAATAAAAGGAAGTTAAAAATAAGGGAGCCATCTCACTAATTCCCCTGTCCCTTGGAGTCCCTAGGCCTGCCGACATAACCAAGTCTTAAGGGACCTCCGGAAGGTCAACAATGATGAGGCCAGCCTCATCTCACAGGAAGAAGATCCCACAGCCCAGGTGCCACAGCAGAAAAGGCCCGCCACCTGGGCCTGCCAAATGTATCTCCCTAGGCGATGGAACCGGTAACATGCCCTCTCTGCTGTATCTGGTAGGACAGGCAGATGAAATCAGGGAGAGGCGGTCCCTCAGATAGCCTGGCCCCATGCCATGAAGGGCTTTAAAGATCAACACCAGCACCTTGAATTGGACCCAGAAACAAACTGGTAACAAATGCAGCTCACAAAGCAGGAGTGAAATGTGTGTTCTACTAGAAACACACATGACTGCTCGCACTGCTGCATTTTGCACCAGCTGAAGTTTCCAGATACTCTTCAAGGGCAGCTCCATGTAGAGCACATTGCAGTAGTCTAACTGGGAGGTGACCGGGGCAGGACTGACCATGAGTAGGTCCCTCTGATCTAGGAATGAGCACAACTGGTGCACAGTATGTTGTGCGAAGGCCCTCCTAGTCACGACTGCCACCTGCTCTTTAAGCAGGAGTCGAGAGTCCAGGAGGACCCCCAGATTGCGCACAGGGTCTATTGGGGCAGCGCGACCCCATCCAGTAACAAAGATGGTAAAACCCAAGAACCAGAGTGGCTTGAAACACAAAGCCATTCAGTCTTGCCAGGGTTCAGTTGAAGCCTGTTGTTCCCCATCCAGATCCTCACAGCCTCCAGACACCAAGATAGGACACCCACAGCTTTGCTTAAGTTTCTAGGGCAGAGATGTACAATTGAGTATCATCAGCATACTTATGATACCTCACCCCATGGCAACGGATGAGCTCACCCAGCCGTCTCATGTAGATGTTAAACAGGAGAGGTGAGAGCACTGACCCCTGCGGCACCCCACATAGTAGGGGGAGGAGGTGGAATCTCTCCTCCCCAATCACCACTGATTGGAACCAAACCTGGAGAAAGGAGGCAAACCAGCACAATACCATGCCGCCCACCAATTTTCCAAGTCAGTCCAGAAGGATACCATGGTCGATGGTATCGAAAGCTGCCAAGAGGTCAAGTAAGGCAAGGATGGACGCACAACCACCATCCTACCCACACCAGAGATCATCCAAAAATGCAACCAATGCTGTTTCTGTACCATACCCAGGTCTGAACCCTGACTGAAAAGGATCCAGATAATCCACTTCATCCAAGGTCCTCTGAAGCTGCTGCACTACCACCTTCTCAATCACCTCCCCCAAAAAGGGGAGGTTGGATACTGGACGGAAGTTGTCCAGTATCGTGGGGTC